CGAGGTTACGCAGCGAGGGACGAAGTGACGCAGTTGAAGGCTTAGACGCGGGGCGAACTCGACTTATGAGCTCTGAACTCGAGCGGGGATCCGGATCTTGTATTTTTGGAGAGAAGTACGACAGATTTTATACTACGCATAGGACACTACGACTATCAAGAGTGGCACACTAGTACAAGGGGCTTTGCATTGTTCCGCACGAAGCTGCCTCACCGAGTGGCACGCATCAAGTCCATCGGTAGAGTGACGTCATGCCGAACGCGGAGATGAAGAGAAACATATGGACACTTCGGACCGGTGTCCGTCGTTGAAGGCATGCCGTGAGGTTCGATACCTAATCGGGAAAGACCGGCTACGTCGGTGTGGCATGGAGCGATGCACGCGCTTGGCCGAACAGCGTCGAGTGGCCCTATTGTCCGCCGAATGCGGGAGATGTTCCAAGATCTACGCGCGAGGCATCGGGACGACCGTGCCGAGCTTCGAGCAAGTGTCGCGCCCCGTCGAAGATGTCGAAGAGCGTCGAAGGCGAAGTCGAAGTGTTAGGTGACTGAGTCGAAGTGCCGTGCGGGATGCGACTGCCGAAAAGAGCTGTATCGGGGCCCAGAGGGGCTTGGCGCCTATCATCTCCTCCTTATTGAAATTTGGACCGCCCTTGGTCCTCCACGTGATGCGAGAAGTGCGATGGTCGTGAACGGATCGAAGCGGCATGACAACCCGTGTAGGCTTCGAACGCCACGTGGCCGGCGCTAAACACTGGTCGGAAAGGGGTTATAAGCAGGGTAGACTTAGCCTCATTTTCCCCATCCCATCGTTCCTTCGTCGCTACCTCGCCATCCTTCCTCGCACGCCCTCTGCTTCCACGATGTCCTCTCGCGCCGCCACCCCTGCGTCGACGCCTTCGCTCGTCAACCGCCGCCTCGCCTCTCTGCTCGTAGTCCTCGAGGCTCCGCCGACCGCCGACGCCGCGCTCGACGTGGTCGAAGAGTGGGCGCAAGACTTGTCGCCGCTCGTCGTAAGTCGCTCGTAAATCTGCATAACCCAACTAACCCTTTGTTTTCGAACAGCTCGCCTATCGCAAGGCCCTGGGTGCCATCCACGACGAGGAGACGGAGCTGCGCGTCGCCGCCGCCGTCAAACAGCTCGCAGAGCGGGCGTCGGAGTCCTGGGTCGAGTGGGCGTGTGGTGACTGGCCCGAGCTCGCGACCGCCATCGACGCCGAGGTCGAACGACGCGCCGAAGAGCAGAAGCACCTCGCCGAGGAGGAAGCACGATGCGTCGAAGAGGCCACGAAGCGTGCGAAGGCCGCCAAGGACCGTCGCCTCGAAGACGAACGGCGTCGAAAGGACGAAGAGGACCGTCTCAGGCAGGCCGCTGAAGACGAGCGTCGTGCACAAGAGGCCGCCGACGAGGAGTTGGCGAGAATCGCGGCCGCCGAGGGACTCCTCGCTGACCCCGCGCCTGCCGGTGTCGACAAGGGGAAAGGGCGCGCGAGAGTCGACGAGGAGGTCACCGAGTTGTCGGACGACCCTTCTGTCGTAAGTGTTCGCTTCTATCGTGCTTCGATTACTAATCTCTCTTTCGTAGAAGACTCCTCGGACGGTCGAACGCCCGTTCGCGATGACGGAGGTCGACATGACCGCCGTTGCGCTTGAGAAGCACCAGGCCGGACAGAAGGTAAGCTCGACTCTTCGTCGAAGCTGTTCGATGCTAACGCCGTGATAGTGTGATCGTTGTGCCGGCTACCGCTCGGCCCTGGTCGAGTGCGTGTGGGTCGAGAACGCCACGACCTGCGAGAGGTGCGCGCAGTTCCAACAGGGCTGCTACTTCGACAAGGTGTCTGTCCTGGGCAAGACAAAGAAAATGCGCGGCGGAGGATCAACCACCAAAAAGCGCAGTAAGTTGTTTCTTCTGGTTGTCCTAAACTTTGGCTGACGTTTCCTGGGCCTTCGGTCGCGGACTCGAGCGGTTCGAAGAAGCGCCGAGTCGACGAGCCTCCGCGCCCACTGCTTCGACTGCCTCTCGATGGGGCTGGCCGCCTTGGCCTTGAACAGGACGACCTCGATGCGCTCGACCTCGACGACGAATCTCGGGGGATCATTCGCGTCATCCGCGAGGAGCGCGCCTTCATCGCTCGCCGTCGAGCGCTCCTACACGACATGGACCTCGACCTTCAAAAGATGGAGAAGGCCGCGCTCGCGAAGGGGGGAATCGGGTTCGTGCGCGGGGCTGTCGACGATGACTAGGCGATGGCGCGGGTCGTATTGTAGCGTAGTTGTCTTCATGTCGTAGAATATTGCATCGATGGTTGATTGAAAATGTGGCCCTTGGCCTAGACGAAACCTAGCGGGAACTAAGAAAAGGAAATGAAAATAAATGTGTTCGAAGTAAGTCGTAACATGATCGAAGGACATAGAAGGGAAAATAGAAATGTTCGTAGCGAGGAAAAATGGACTTAATGAAAATATAGGCTCAGTTTGTCATCACAGCCTAGGAGGACTCGTCTAAGGTGAGCCTCCGCGCAACGGTCGAATCGAAGCGTTCGTAGAACGTCGAACGATGTCGCGACTATCGAGTTGAATCGAAGATATTCGTACAAGGGATGGTCTAGAACATAGGAGAAAATCAAGCATATAGCGTAACGTGAGAGCAGGAATGGAGAGAAGAAAGTACGTATCGTGGTGTACAAGTAATCAAAGGGAAGAACCTCTATTCATCGCGTTCTTCGGCTTCTTCGACTTCATCATCGTCGTCGCCTAGAGAATTCGATAGTTCTAGTTCTCGAAGACGCTCGGTCGAGACATCTTCGAGATCTTCGGGGATTGGAATGGATTTGCACGCGAAATACGGAATGACGCGGAATACTGCGATGGGTCGATCGAGGACTGTACCGTCGAGTTCGCACACGATGTATGCGCCGCCCTTGTTGCGCGAGACAACGATGAGGGGGCCTAGGTATCGCGGGCGCATCTTGCGGTTGAGGGACTTCTCGATCTTCGTGTTGCGTATGAGCACTAGGGCTCCGCGCTTGAAGTCGAAATCCTGGATTGAGTGCTCGTGCTCTTTTTCGAAGCGAATTGCTGCAGTTCGACGTGCTTCGTAGACCTTCGAGTGGAGTTCGGTGACTTGCTCGACGCGTTTCTGGAGCGCAATGGCCCTGCGGGCGATGAGATCGGTCGTCGAAAGAATCGAAGTCGGTGGGGGTTGCAGATATGTAGCTTCGACAATGTCGAGAGGGATGAGCGGATGGGTGCCCGTAACGGCGAAATAGGGTGAGCAGCCCATGTGTCGTCGAGTCGTGATGCGCTCGGACCAAAATACAAAATACGCAGCTTGGGACCATTTCTTCTCATCTCCGTCGGCGGTCTTAAACAAGGCTTGTCGCGTGCTGAAGTGTGGACGTTCGACGAGACCATTCGCCCTCGAATTGTACCCACTGATTCGAATATGGTTGATGTGGTACTTCTTCGAAAGGTAATCGGCCGCCTTGATGAACGCCGTACCGTTGTCGGTGACGATCTCGCTGAGCGCGCCCCATCGACAGAGGATGTCTTCGAAGATCCAGTCAGCGAGGGCCTTTGCTGTCTCTTTTCGAAGCATTCGAAACTCGGGGTAAGTCGTGAGCGAGCATCTACCTTGGACCAAGTACTTGTATCCGCCCGAGGCCGGCATGTGCATTGTGTCGATGTGAATTTTTGCGAAGATGGGGGCTGGTACTGCAACAGTCGGAGGAATGAGGATTTGACGCACTTGTCGAGACTGGCAGATATGACACGATCGAACGAACCAAGCGATGTCGGCGTAGTGGAACGGCCACCAGAATCGCTCATTGACGAAGGCTCGGGTTGCGTAGATTCCTCAATGCGCGGTGCGGTCGTGGCATTCTCGAAGTATTTGAAGGCGATCTCCGGGCTTGACGACTAGCTTGTGTGCTCCATGACTGTCCTTGCGCCAGAGGGTGTCGTTGTCGAGGAAGAATTGCATGCAGTACTTGATGAATCCTTCGTAAACACTTTCGGAGATGTTGTCGGGCTTTGCTAACGTTCGATGAAATTCGAGCACGTCGTCGAGCTTCGCGTCGGCGAGTTGCGCTTGCTCCAATCGAGGCACTAGCTCGTAGCTATCCTCCTCCCTATTGAAATCTGAGCCGTCCTCGGCTCTGTCATTGGTGAAGATGGCTAGCAACTGGATGGACGGGAGGGGCTGGATCTGGTGAACGAAAGAATGCATCTGGTCGATCCAGTCGTCGAACTCTTCGTCGACCTCGTCTTCGATGACATCACCGGGTTGAGCTGTGCGCCGAGAGAGACCGTCGGGGCCGTGCATTGTACCGGGGACGTGGACTAACGTGAAATGGAATGTGAGAATCGAGACAATCCACCGGTTGATACTCGCGCTTGGGGCTATGTCCGGATTCTTCAGCATACCCTTGATGTACCGAGCATCGACTTCGACGATGAGGTTCCGAACGCCGATCAGGTAGAGTCAAAGGGATCGTAGTGCGCGGAATAGGCCGTAGATCTCGAGCTTCGGCTGTGAAAACCTCCGTTCGCGATCGTTGAGCGTGATCGAGCCGAACCTGCTGTAGTAACGCACTCACGTGTTGGCTTCGTCGCACTGGCAGAGGTGATATCCGACGGCGATGAACGACGTGTCGACTGCGAGAATGACGGGAGAGGGGGACTCATAATTGATGGCTCGGAGTGCGGGGGATGAGAGTAGCGCGTCCTTGAGGTCTTCCTGCGCCGCGATTTGCTCCGGACCGAACTCGAACTCGACGTCCTTCCTCGTGAGGCGTACGAGCGCGTCAGCGCGGTGAGCGAAGTTACGGATGAAGATTTGAACGACGCCGATGGTTCCGAGGAACGCTCGAACATCGGATAGAGTAGCGCAGGGACCCCAGTTGCGTATTGCTGCGACGCGAGAGTCGTCGGGGAGGCGTCCTTGAGGAGTGCAGCGATGTCCTACCACCATGATTTCTCGAGCGATGAGGACGCTCTTGACTCCAGAGAAGGTACCTCTGGCGTAGCACATTTGAGTGACTACGCGGTTCATGTTCTCGAAATGCTCCCATACCGAAGCGTCGAATG